CAAAGCTGAAATTAAAAAATGAAAGCTAAATAGAAAAATAAAGAGAAACTAATAAAAATTGTCAAAAGCACATACAATTACGACAATTTTTACTAATTATATATATATATATATATATAAAGAAGACAAAAATCACACAATTAGTAAGCTTAAACTAAAACTGGAAATCTTGCCTTGTCAACTAACTGAAACCAGTTTACACTGAATTAATACCAAAGCTGAAATTAAAAAATGAAAGCTAAATAGAAAAATAAAGAGAAACTAATAAAAATTGTCAAAAGCACATACAATTACGACAATTTTTACTAAAATAAAAGCTGAAGATACAAAAATTAAAGCTAGCTCAAAATATACACGTGTACTGTATCCAGATATCTGACGAAACAGATCTGGCAAACTATCCAGTGCATATTTGTGTTTGCAGAGGTTTCTATTTACACTGTTTATCACAGAGTTGAGCAGCATAGCCGATCACAGACAGATCTGTCGAATCACTGCCAGTCATCAGAATCCACTCACCATAGTTTTGCACGCTCATGGATCCTCTCATTATAACAAACCTTCATGAGATCATGATGCGCTAAGACGAGGAACAGCTTTTCAGTGATTATAAACGCTGTACTCTAGGCTTTATATAATCCATTCAGAATTTGTATAAAACTTTTGCTTTTCGGGCACACACACGCTGCAAAGACATATGCATATTTATGTGGTATTCATACTCAAAAGAGCAATGGACGGGACAAAAATATACGTGAAAGTGTATGTGCATTGAGGCTAGAGCACTAATTTCTGAAGAGCCCTCAGTATTTCATTCTGGACAAAACTGTGTTGGAGCAGTTCTCTTGATCAGTAGCTCATGCTCAGGCGAACGCATGGAGTATTATGTGACAGTAGGCTATGCTTCAAAGTCGAAAAAATGAGCAAGATTTTTGTTAACTTCTTCTGTGAAAATCTCTACCCAGTTAGAGTAAACATTAATGCTTCATCGAATACTCTGTTCATCTGTTGAGTTCATCATCGACGGCGTCGTGATTCTGAATGTGAACAGATTCACTGAAACTGAAGCTTCAAATGTCTGGTTATCAGAGATAATTAATCAGCTGGTAATTAATATGAGTGTGTTTGATGACTGTATAACGTCGTGTCGTGCGAGCGGCGCTATCACGAAGCCGATACAAAGAGGATAAAGCGGCTCCGTCAGCGGGACGGGATTAAACGCTCCCACTGCGTCTATTCACACCAATTACTCGCACACACAAAAGGCCAATTTGTTTTTGCAAAGCCTGATACGCGGCTAATGCTCTGAGCTCAGACGAGAACGCGGCGCGACGCTAACAGCCCTGAGCGCTGTTCGTCGCGCGGCGAGCGTAAGTCTGTCAGACGCAGGGGAAGCGTTTCCGGCACAGTTCGCTTCACGCTCATCAGAAGCAGAGGCTGGCGGAGCCCGCGACAGGAAACCGGAGGTTCAGGTCAGAGCCTATAGACACGCTTCACGCTTCAACAAAACACACACTCGTTACGCTTCAACCAGTTCAGGGGCTCCAGTCTGCACACTCACAGTCATGCATCGGCAGGAGCTTTTATTCAGATCACGCACTACACCAGTTCAAGCTGCTGCCAGCGCCACCTACTGTCTCAAACACATGCACAATCACTGTGCGATTCTAAATGTAAATCACTCTCACATCATTTTTCTATTTTTTATTGTACTTATTAAATTTTTCTAGATTTATATTGCATTAAGGTTTTTTTTTAATCCACTTAATTAATTTTTGTATATTACCTAATATTATACCTATATTTTTAATTGATTTATTTCTACTTTAATTTTAATCTTTCTAGATGTATACTATATTGAGTTTTTTAAATGCTTATTTAATGTTATATAAGTCTATTATTACGCTCTTTATTTCATTCTACTTTTCCATATTTTTTCTAGATGTATATTATGTTAAGTTTATTCAGTGCTACTTATTTAATGTTTTCTTGATGTGTATTAGGTTAAGGATTATGTAACTTAACTTAAAAAATCCAGATGTATATTATGTTGTTGTTGTTTTTTTATTATTTGACTTATTTTTTAGATGTATATTATGTTGTTTTTAATTAACCTGCAACTTGTCTAGATGTATATTACCTTAAGATTACCTTTTTAAAATGTAATTTCACTCATTTCATGTTTGTAGACACATGTTACTAAAGTGTTTATGTACCTGTACTTGTGTGATGCTCTCTGTATTCTCATGGGTACATACAGTAGGTATGTGAGTGTGTGGAGCTCGTGGGATGCAGACTGAAGTCTGTGTGAATGAAGCTCGTTCTGATTCTGATTAGTTTGTGCAGTTCTGCACCCTATTAAGTGTAGCTCACGCCGTGTTTATGAGGTTCACAGGAGTCTCATCCATCCTCGATAGTAATTATGAAGCTCCTGAAGAGATGATTTTATGTTTTATTCATCTGTTTTGCTCAGGAGTTGAAGGCGTGCTCTGGGAATCCTCTTCCCGTCTTAAACTGTGTCTGTCTCTGGTGTGGAGTTGTGTTTATTGCGTCTGATGAAGGTGTACTGTCACAAACGAGCCGCTCTGAGATGAACAGAAGACCTGAGGATCTTCATCAGTGAGCGAGAGGAGATGCGGAGGTGAGGATGAGGAGCACAACTGTGTTCAACATTGATAATAATCAGAAATGTTTCTCG